GAAAACGTGGCATGGATAATCAACAAAGTTGCTGAGCACCGGAGTGAATCGCTCATGCCTTCCTTAACCAATTACCCTCAATTCACTTTTGAAAGTGATTTGGATCAGTTTAGCAATATGCTGATGATGAAATTCCTTCTGACATCACTCTGACTTGTTCGTTTCACTGACGATGGTCATGTTATTTCCTGACGTGCTTATCAAGCAGAATGCCGTTTTTTGCGGTCAACGTAAGAAGTATTCGAGCAACGAAAGGCTCGAGCCAATTTACTCTTTAGTGTAAATTTTCAGAAGTTGCTTATGTGAGGGTAAATGAAACATGATTCAATGCTGCAACTGATTTGCTTGGAAATGTGCTGTGAATGGAACTTATAGAAAAGTATAGTAGGTCAATCAACTGATCCATGCTTTACGCATCTCAATATGGATGACATCAATTGGTTGATCGGAATCGATCAAAATCATTGTGTACTGTGACTTCTTGCGAATCCAATCCACACATACAAGACAACTGCGGTTGATGAAAAAGCAATCGCAGTTTCCAGGAACGATAATATTCTATGTGAAATAAATGCATCCATCGATGTCGATACACAGAAACGCATGCAGTCGGATTGCGATAGAATCCTTCCATCGCAAAAAAANNNNTGGATTGATTCTGAGAAGGACCGTATCACGGCTGTTCACGGAAATGAAGAGCGCATGCAAGAATACAACACAGAACAAACAATTGTAAGTATTCGGTGGTGCATGCTGGTGTACTACTGAAAGCAAACCTGTTGAAAAGTGAGAGGTCTTCGATACTTCGTGATCTAAAACTACAACGCTATTAGTTTGAACACTCCATCAAATATCCAAATTCCTGAATGATAACGGCACACTTGGCATTCAAACCATTAACATGAACACACATACATATACATAATATCACACATCAACTTCTCACAATCATTCAAATGGCCGATTTCAATTAACTGGTTAACATCGGATGATTTCCGGATGGACCGTTGGCCAATCACCAGAGAAGAACTTCGCTTATTAGTAGGATAGGTGAACGACGATCAACAATTGATCCGCATCATATGTCCTATAGAAGTATTTATCATAGTGTCAATCCTCAGTACATCGCGCAGATAACTGCACTAAAACTGAAATGACTGTAAATGAAATGGAGATAGAATAGCTTCATGTCATTCATCAGATGTGAGATGAAGGTGCGAATGAAATCGAAGGTTCATCGCTAGTTGACGACGAAATTCACTACTGAGACGACTAACTGATCATGTGAACCGGTGACAACCGGATACTATCCTCAACAACTAGGAACTTGATTTGACTGAATCAGTCAGCATGCTTAACTACCCTTTCTCACGGCCATTTTTCTAGAAATATTTTATATCTAACAATTACAAGACCGTTCTATCATGCCAGTCTTCTTAAGTCAATCGCCAAGAATGTGGTTCGTGAACGGAACATGAAACAGTCGTGTTTGTTTCGTGATTATCAGCTAATACATCAGCGGTAGCCGAGCACGTCACTGACTGCTATCTGCTGATCACATTCATCCTCAATTGAGTGTTGTTCGTGAAAAGTGAAAATTTAATAGACAGTATCACGACCAGTCGACTTTTTTCTAAGGACTAAGTCTCTATGAACCTTAACAACACTACATTTCGCAAAACCACTAAACAAAATCAATCGCTACCTGTAAAATAATCACTTCCGACTGATCACTTACATCAGAGCAACAACGTGCGGTGTTCATTCACCTATCACATGTGTACGCAACAATTCTAGACAAATGCATCGGACTAAACGTTAGATATTTACGGCTATTCATCATCCAAATAGACACGGCAAAACCGGCATGCATGACTCCATTCAAAACAAATTCTGCTTGTGTTGTTTCTTTGTAAGAAGGAGTTTGCATGTGAAACAACGAGGTGAANGACTTGAGGAGACTTCAATGAGACTGAGGCAATCTAGTTTGATGATGGTTCATTTGCTGTTTCAATAAAATTGCGTCAATTATACGGCTGCTCCACTGCGATCAAATGATTTATAAATTGCACAAACAATCGTATGAATTATCAGAGTACTCAAGAGGTTATAAATGCGAAAAAATGTGTATGGCGTAATTTTTTGGTGACTTGTATTAATTTTATTGTGGATACTTGGAGCAATCCTGAGCGTAACATAAATTCATGGAACTGCGATCAGCACCATAGGATCCTTTGCACGAAAACTTTTCACCAGAAAAGAAAACTGATGAAGAAAACTGAAAAATTAGGAGACTGGATTCAGGGAGAGCTGGAAAGTGTACACCATCAGATGTGAAGGGCATAAATATAGAGGAAGCAGAGAAGATTTGGTATTTTGCAATCATTTGATGATGAATGTTAAAAGCATACTAGAAAAAGTTAATCTCTTCGATTTAGTGGAAGGATTGAAATGATACGAGATAACAAATTAATCAAGTTTAGCAGCGAGAAGTCAGCAAAACGACTAGATCTGAAGAGAATAACGCTGACGATCATGAATGAACTATATGAGATGCATTCATTAAATGACACCAACTGATTTCTTCAATTCAATTCAATACCTCCAGCAAACAACAAAAATGAAAGTATCGGTTGTGTACCGTTTTCAATTTGCAAGCGTTCCCAGTTCTTCCCACCTTCAGTATTTTANCAGGAATTTACTATTTTACTCGGTTTGAATCAAGTCATTCTTTTGATACTCGCTGATGAGCAGATGCATTTTTCTTTGAGACTTCTCTATGAGTACGACCCGACTCGATTAGGGCTTCTCAATCGGCCAATAGTTTTTCATATGAAAAGTATGAATATCCGACAAAAACTGAAATGCTCCTTCCGCACTCAGCACATCCGTCAAACTGATTATATAATATCATTCATATAAAAATCGCTGATCAAATACGTTGCCATATACAAATGCAACGGATTTCTTGTGACAACACAATTCGTATTTTTCCTTCAATTTTGACCATTCAGCAGCGAACTGTTGAATCGCACACCACGTCATATTGAGTGAGAACACAGTTGAGAGCGAGAATCACCGTTTTGTCGAATTTAAAGTCATAATGGCAAGCAAAGTTTTGCAGTCCAAAAAAGCGTTGAAACTATTTCTATTAGCATCCAATCAACAACATCGACAAAGATCAAAACCTTAAGAACCTGCTTCGGCTTTTTGAATCCTTCTTACGACCGCCAACAGTTTGACCTCTCGGAGTGACCGGCACTGATTCCAGATTACTAATGAGCAGGTTGATTGACTGCCGTGTCTCATCGATGAACAACGTCTCCATATCTTTTACAACAAACTTCGGCATCAATTTTTTCATCTGAAAATTGAACAACAACAATTAAATTCACTTTTTTTTGTCAATCAACAACTGGATATCTATTTGCATGCGCACCGAAACGTGACTGGAAAGACCTTCAGGTGACTTTCTAAGAGATAAGGAGATGACATCGTCAAGCGGAAAGGTCGCTTGTGGAAGACCTTAGTAAGAACTATAAGAATTTGGACAGCATCATATAGTCAGCACTATTGTAGCTGATAATCCGGTCGATCATGGTGATCAAATAGTGGAAACGCCATGCAATCAATGGAACTGAGCGCAGCATGAACGAAACGAAATCGTTGCGAGGTGTGAGTATGTTTGAAATTGGTGATTCGAATGCTATGCATGATTTAGAGACAATAAATAGGATTGGTCATACCCTGGATATGTCTCGAAGTGCCTCTTCTCGAGTTGCAACTTCGCGCCTTATTGCAGCCGCTTGTTCATCAGGATTATCCAGCTGAAACAATTGATTCTTAATGTGTCTCCGCTACGATGANCGCTTGAGGCTTCATTGAAGACTGAAAACACAATCATGAAAGTGTTCTAGAACGGTGATTCTCGCCAGGCCTTCTGAAAAGTGAAAAATTTGCGGAAGCTCAGACAAGAATTGAAAACTTTCAGCAATTTTTTCAATCGCATGCGATTAAATAATCGCATTGTTTGATCAATCGCAAGAAGTTATATTTGCATCACAGGTATATGATTCAAAAGTGATTCAATCCTACGCATTCAACGCATATGATTTCATGCATTGTTGGTTGTTCCCACCTGCAAAGCGTTGAAGATAATTTGATGCTCGAATTTTTTGACAGAAAGAATCTGTTGAAACATATCGTAGAGTTGATCTTTCAGGAGGATTAGATCTGCATTCGACTGATTCACGCCACGTAATCGTCCTCTGCAAATCCAATTTACAATTCATTCCACTAACTCAACAATGAACTGATGTAAGCACGAATCAGTGAGGACTGAATCAATGGCAACCGATTTATCAATGACCTACCGGCCCTGCCTAGCTTGAAGTGCCTCTTCATCACCACGAATGATCGTATCGAATTTTGTCATCCAACTATTCAAGACGGTCTCCTTTGAAAGTCCATCAATTTCGGGTAATGAACGTATTCGTTTTTCGACATTACATCGAAACACCTGAAACTAACGAATGAAACTCACGATGTTCACAAGTGTGACCTTATTGAATATCTGAAAGCTGTTGAAAAGTGTTCGCAAACTTCAAATGACACTGAAATTTAGCTGATTTCATCACATATTCCTCTCCACTGTGAACATGACTACGTTGGGCATGCATCGCATTGCAGTTTTAGAAAGACTTCGAAGGAATAAAAACGCAATCACTCACCTCCCGAAAATCGTATTGAGAGAACCCTCCAGCTTGTACGACTTTATGAACACGTTCAGATTTCAGAAAAACCTGCAACATTCGGATCAATGAGAAGACTTAGGGCGATCAACAAAAATTGATGACAATTGAAAGATGAATTAACAAATGCAGAACTGAGAACAATTCTGATGGCTCACTTCGAAATAAGATTCGATTGCTTTCGTGAACGCTTCGTCTGCAGCGATTTGTGTTTCCCCTTTCAGAAATGACTGGAAACGGTCTTTTATCCTTGCAAGTTCCTGTTTATTCACCTAAAATTTTCGTCAAATTTCTCATGTCAACGTTAACTTCACTGAATGAATGCAGCATCTCTTCGATCATATAATTTCCATAATAATTGTTCAATCCGAACAAATCATAGAGTTAATTCATACTGTGCATGACACATAAACCAAAACGAAAAGCTGTCATTATGTATCACTGAACCACAAAGACTTCAAATCCGAAGCAACTGATTTCAATGGTTGAATATCAGTTCCATTTTCAGTTCCGTTGTCTAAACCACGAACTGTTCCTTCTGGTTATGAAGTACTCATCTGTTTATCATGTGTAGAACCAAGTGGCACGAGTTGCGCTCAAATTAGGTACGTAAACACAACAAAACATCTGCTGCACTCTGTCATTGTTCCGCAGATTAATTTTTCATCTTTCAATGTCAATATACCGTTATCAATTCATGCATGCCATTGTCAATACACCATTATTACCATTATCAAATCCATTCACTGCGTTCCAGAAAAATGAAACATCCAAGAGATCAATAAGCTTTATCCGCTTGTAATTCTACACATCCTAACTCCATTTGAAGTTCCGAAAAATTTCTAATTTTACACATTATGGTCAAGGTAATGTCGTTGTCGATGGCGTGCTATTCTGCTTCGTTCGCACGTAATATGCAGCTGATAAAGGAACTGGCAATTGCTTTTAGCATGCTCATTAAACTGCCTTTTCATATGACCGCATGTGAAGAATTCATTGCATATTGCAGTTGAAGATCGCGTGATCACCTCTAATCTTGGCAATAAGTATAAACTGCCAATATACGTCATATGTATATCAGACGTTTGTTATTTCCATTTAATAATGCTTATTTATCACTGCAATTATTCACTGGCAACTAATTTCGCTAGATTATGAGTGGTCGACGTGGCTTGACGGAATAAAGTGTCACGAAAATGATGTGAAAACATCATGTTGATATCTTAAATATTACTTTCATTGACATAAATTACTGGTTCGATAGAGTTTCAGTCGAAACTGAAAATACACACAGGACACTTTACAACAAACTCTTATCAAATATGTGTTGCAATTGATTCATTTCCATCAGATGACTCAATTATTTGCACACTCCTCTGTTTCATTCTTCCTAAAGTCATAAGCAAGCACCAAGAAATAACAACCTTCATCTGTCGTCTAGCCATATCAGTTGGCTGTTTCGCATTGAAGTGATATGCGATACATTTTGCAACAAATACGTACAATTGCAGCTTCCTTTTACGCTCTTCTTCTTCCATTTCGGCTCTGCAAAACGTTAAGGAAACAATAAAGTAAACGTGAAAGTACCTAAATTTTAACAGTAAACAAAAGAAATCGCCAGTTNAGAAATTATCATAGTGAGTGATTATAAGCAATACTTCATTCGTTCCTCTTCCTCTTTGCTGAATTTCGGTGCTGAATCGGTGGCCATATGTGCAGGGGTACTCTGATCGTTCGATGTATATTCATCCTCCTCATCCGAGATCTCTTGTGATAGTTGAGCGAAAACAGGACGGCCCACAACTTGCGGCATATGTAACTGCTTACTACTACTCTAGAAATCATAGCATTCATTTAAATCAGTGCGCACAACATATGAGCAGACTAACTGGAACAAAACCTAGCTGATGTGACGTTCTCGAACTGAAGGGAGCTGAGTTAATGATTAGCTTCATTCCAGTCAATGATAAAAACACCATAGCAATTTGTCGCGTGTTTGCATGATCATTTTTCAGTTTGCTTTTTGCAATTCGTTGTCGAAAAATTCGGCACAAACTACAGACTATTAAATGTTCGAATAACATGAAGCGGTTTGCAATGAAAATGAACGTTATGGCCCATTAAAATAAAAGTAGAACGATAGACTGCAACAAAGATCTAAGGCTGTCATCCTCACCGATCGAAATGTGGGCGCACCGGAAGTGATCGAATCATTTCTGCGTGCTCGTGTTGAATCACCACGAATCAACGAGTTCGCCTGTGAGATTGAATCGGACGGGGCTGGTGAATTGGAACGAGGCGAAATTGAGGCGGGTAGACGTCTTCGTGGTATTGATAAAATCTGAAACGATTCATTGATGGTTCATTCAAATACCGCTCATATACACTCACTGATATACTAATCACTCGGCTGGATAACATGAGCAGACATGCCATGTGAGTGAAAGGATGCCTCTCGGAAGATGGAATATTGCTGTTTCATCCTGTCACAAGCTTGTCTGAAGCCAATCAGAACTGTATGATCACACTATAGGGTAAACTGAACAGTTTTGTGAGCATATTTATCCCATGATGCTTCATCACAACGCTCGATTCGTGTCCGATCAAAGTGCATTGTTAAAATCTTGACAAGAACACAATAAAATATGCTGCGGTTCACAAAACAAACAATTGCAATTCAGTGCGAACAATAACCTCAGACGCGTCATCGTTGTCATTCGCAAATCGGTCATCTTCGTCCTCCTCACTGCTCGACGCACCGAGCATCTGAAATCCAATCGCATTTCCGGTCACTCTCATCGGAAACAATACAATGCAACGATCGCTAATGTTGTTCGCGAAAAGGCAAATGAACGTTGTACTTATATTCATTCAACTACTAGGAAAATTATTCAGCTGAATTGATCATCGTGTGCAAAAATTGGAAAACAGAAGAGTTATCGGAAAATACATTGGTAACTGAAAATTCATTAGAACAAGCCAACGGGCTTTATCATATGAAGCACACTATTGGAGAAAATTGAAACGATCATTAAAAGTGGATGAATGTTTGAGACATATTCTGTTCCACTTTATACAGGTAAGTTGCCGGAGCACAAGAATTTGATACAATTAACTTGGTGAACACCACAAGAAATATGAGCACGGCGCCATAAAGGTATTGAGCCATGAAGGCATGAAGGAAATTTGCGCATTTGATAACAGTCATGAAATATACGCATGCTTAAACTGATATATGTATGTACATGTATGCAGAGTGGCATTGCTGGTATATTAATGTTGAAAACATGCATTTTGTGACGTTTTTAGCCTGGAGCAGTTGTTGACATTTGAATTGCGAGGAGGACAGCAACATCACTGAATGATAGTGAAACGATGATTGATGCATGTCGCAGATGACACCCAAAAATAGCTTTTGATCGACGATCTTGTGGGGAAGCAATTCGCATCCGGCAGTACATTTCACATGGCGATAGAACAAGTGAAATCCACTCATGGCAGAACTTTCAGAGATCGTCGATCTCTGAAGGTTCTGCCTGAGTAGAAGGATGCTGAAACTTCTCCAAAGAGTTCACGTTATATGAGGAAATTCGGAAATGTCCAGCCTTAATGCAACGAAAATTCCATGAGCATAAGCAATGTTTCGACCAGAAAGGGAAATTGTCTTAGATTTGGGAATAAGACCTCTACAGATCAATCAGTCGCGGTTAAGGAGTTGGTTTCATCAGAAGAGTGCATAAGAAAACTGCTGAACTGAGTAAGACAAAGCGGTCATAACAATGGAAGGATTCAGAGATGAGACTGAAGAGATGACGCTAAGCATGAAGATTATGAATGCTTTAATCGCTAGGTAAGCGAAAAACGACCACATCACATCATGCATGCTGTAATCACATCCAACAAACATATGATGAAATATGATATTTTTCATTGTCGAAAAAATGCAATCGCATTGACCAGCATTCAATGAGGTAAACGCCCATTCATCCGTAAAAACTACAGCTATTTTTGCGAAAATGTCAACAACTGCAATGATTCAAGTGCTCCTGTCACGAGCAGAATCAGCCACAAAACTATGAGCGATGAAAAACAAATATAATTGCGTTTCAATCATTCAAAGTTATCCATTAGCTCCAAAATTTTGGTTTTAACCATGCCATTTGCTATAATATACCCGTTTCTTGCTGAGAAATTGATGAGTTCGACGTGTTCAACGTCTCGTTTAGGTATCACCGTATGAGCATTTGAA